CCCCCAAAGTAAAAAAGTGCTCGATTATCCACAACATATGTCATTAAAATAAAAATTGGAGATATAAAACTGCGATATGCATACTTACTGACAGCTAGCAAACACATTTATTCTCATTCTTGAGCCAGGGACTTCAATCGGGAGTAGTATCCCCAGGGTTAAATGACTACGGTGACTAGCCACACACACAGTTAATACAACCAACGGGAGTAGTACCCACAGAGTTAAATGACTACGGTAATCAGCCACGCCCACAGTGAGGGCAACCAACGGAAGCAGTACCTGCGCGGTTGAATGACCACAGTAATTAGCTGCGCCCACAAATTATGACGGTTAGCCATGCCCGCACCCAACGAAAACGTTATGAATCGAGTACGCGCACAGAGTTGGAAAATCAGAAACGGTCACACACATTTATCCGAACAAGTAACGAGGAATGTTCAGTGCTGATTCATTATTTATGTTAATACTATGTTATAAGTGTCAGATCACAAATAGCAAACTGCTCCAGTATCCATTGTTATTGTGTATTTATGTTCACGAATTACCTCACTCATTTTTCGTTTGATGGAAAGAAAGATGAGCACGCAAATTCAGAAGCGCTGTCCAAATTCTGCCCAAGATTTTGATATGACGTCCGACGAGAAATGGAGGTTTTTCCGATGTTACATATGCTATACAAAAAAATTCAGCAGAAGTCAGAGACGGCAGCTTTTTCTGTGTGTAGTACTGATTTTCAAACAGCGATATTCACCCTAGCTTGCCGATCTCATCGTAGGAATTCACGTTAACATGCATCGCACGTCACACCATAAATGCTCTGCTCGCTGTATTGTTTTGCCATTCCTATTCAATGCTAAATGACATGTCAAATGTCATTCATAAACTCTGTCTCCTTTCGAGAGAATCTATTACCTTATTCCAGAATTCTTGTTTCTTATCCTATCGTCATGTTCCTCGAAAGAAGCTAACTCATTCCTCGAGAATTGTCTCACTACGCTTAAGTTTTTTCTTACTTAAATTTGTCTCACTAAGACTGTAACATGTACTGCA